GCAAGGTAAAGTGGGCTTAGAACTGATTATTGGGAACCACAAGCCATTAGAAACCATCATTTTTTATGTTTCTATTTAGTGTTTTTACATGTATAGTTTTCTACTTCATAGCTGCCTAGTTCTAATAATTAATACTTGTTTAATATCTGAGATAATAGATTTTATTTTGAATCATCTTGTCCCCTATTCTAAGAACAAGTTTCTTTTTCTTTCACCTTTTCCTGCATTGTGACCAGATTGATTTTTATCTCCCTACTTAGGGCTTGTGATGCTGTAATTAACAAAAGAATATAGAGTAGAATGAGCATTTATTTAAAGAAATTAGATTAAACATAACAATGTGCTAGGCCAGGGGTTGGCAAACTATGGCTCACAGGCAAATGATGACCAATGCAGCCTGTCAGCTCTCGTACAAATAGTTTTACTAGGTGAATACTATGTAGATGGTCCATAGCTGCTTTCATGCTATAATAGCAGAATACTTGGGAAAGAAACCACTTGACCTCAAAGCCTAATATATTTACCATTTGACCAATTACAAAAAATGTTTCCAAGCCCCTATATTATACAAAGCCCTTTTTTTTTTTAAATCTTTCTACAGGTACCAGTCCTAAAGATGAAAAGTTTAACCTGCCCCGACTCTGTATCCGAAAGTTCTTCCCAAAGAAGAAATGCTTTATCTTTGATCAGCCCACCCATCGGAAGAAGCTACGCCAACTTGAGACAATGCATGATGATGAGCTGGACCCCGATTTCGTGCAACAAGCTGCTGACTTCTGTTCCTACATCTTTACCAATTCCAAAGTCAAAACTCTTGCAGGAGGAATCCAGGTCAATGGACCCCGTGAGTCCTCTTCCCAGTCATTACTCTTACTGTTAAGGCTAAAGGAAGGTGGAATAGCATCCGCCTAGTTTCAGACTGAAAAATGCAAATATACTACTATTTCTGTGGTACATTCTGGATGACACATTTCTAATAGATTTTATTAGACAGACTTTGTGGTTGAGAATTGATAGAAAAGGACAAATAAAAAAAGCTCTATTGCTTAAAATTGCCCTAATAACCTGGACCTGTACTATTCCATATAATAGCTACTAGACAAGTGTAGTAGCTACATATAACTAAACTTACATGTAGAATAATTAGAATTAAAGAATATTAACAGTTCTAATATTTGCAAATGTTACCACTGATAAAGATTTAATCTCCAACATCTACAAACAGCTTATACAACTAAATAAAAGGAAGATGAATGATCCAATTAAAAAATGGGCAGTGGACCTAAATAGAATATTTCCAAAAGAAGACAGAAGGAAGGCCAAAAGGCACATGAAAACATGCTCAAAGTCACTAATTATCCAATAGATGCAAATCAAAACAACAATGCGGTACCATCTCACACCTGTCAGAATGGCCAACATCAACAAATCAACAAACGGCAAGTGTTGGCGAAGTTGTGGAGAAAAAGGAACCCTCCTGAACTGCTGGTGGGAATGAAGACTGGTGAAACCATTGTGGAGAACAGTGTGGCGTTTCCTCAAAAAACTGAAAATGGAACTCCCATTTGACCCAGTAATCCCACTCCTAGGAATATATCCCAAGAAACTAGAAACACCAATCAGAAAGGATATATGCACCCCTATGTTCATAGCAGCACAATCTACAATAGCTAGAATCTGGAAACAGCCTAGGTGCCCGTCTGCAGATGATTGGATCAAAAAACTTTGGTACATCTATACAATGGAATACTATGCTGCCATAAAAAAGAAGGGATTCTCATCATTTGCAGAAACCCGGATAGAACTAGAGAACATCATGCTGAGTGAAATAAGCCAGTCAATGAAAGAGAAATACCACATGGCCTCACTAATTTATGGACATTAAAGAACATTATATACTGACAAACCAAAAGATAGATATAAAGACAGTAAAGCAACAAGCAGACTGTAAAATTACAGCGGGGAGTATAGGGAGATCTGGGGGAGATAAGAGATCAACCGAAGGACTTGCATACATGCATATAAGTACAACCAATGGACACAAAACTCTGGAGAGGGAGGGTATGTATGGGGGGGGGGCAATGTTAAAATATGTACACAGATAATAATTTCATTAAAAAAAATTTTAAAAAATCTAGAAAGCCAAAAAAAAAAAAAAAAAGAATACTAACAGTTCTAATTACATGTCTAGGGGTTACAATATTGGTTAGCAAATATAACACAGGACCATCATCACAGAAAGTACTTTTGGAAAATGTTCTTCCAGAATGAATAAAATGGAGGACTCCTTTTAAAATTTATTTGTAGTTTTTTAATCTTCACCCAAGGAAGTTTTCCCATGAATTTAAGAGAGAGAAACATCAATGTGAGAGGGAAACATTAATCAGTTGCCTCCTGCATGTGCACCAACTGGGATTGAACCTAGGTGTGTGCCCTGACCAAGAATCACATCCACAACTTTTTGGAGCATGGGACGATGCTCCAACCAACTGAGCCACCTGGCCAGGGCAGAGGAGTTCTTTTTAATTGTTTCACAAATACTCATTTTATAATTACTTACCATGGACCAGAACTAATAATAGAGACATGCATGAGAGGTAAATTTCCTGTCATAAAGGTGCTTAGGGGTAAAGCACATGCACTCAGTAAACACAGGTCTATGGGGCCTAAAACAGAGGTTTTTACCCTTTGATGTGGATCCATATCACCCAAGATCTTACCTGAGGAGGATTTAATTCAGTTCATCTGGAGCAGAGGCTGAGAGTCTGCATTTTTAACAAACTTCTAGGTGATGCTGAGGACAAATGAGTATTGAGACATTACCACCAGATGTAAAGAAGATGGACTGTTTTCTCACCTCACCTACAACAAATGTTATCTTTTGTTCTCTATTTGTAGGGCTGGAGACTCTGGTGATGACCTATATCAATGCCATCAGCAGTGGAGACCTGCCCTGCATGGAGAACGCAGTCCTGGCCTTGGCCCAGATAGAGAACTCGGCTGCAGTGAAAAAGGCCATTGCCCACTATGACCAGCAGATGGGGGAGAAGGTTGAACTGCCCACAGAAACCCTCCAAGAGCTCCTTGACCTGCACATGGCCAGTGAGAAAGAGGCCATCGAAGTCTTCATCAAGAATTCTTTCAAGGATATAGACAATTTATTTCAAAAGGATTTAGCGGTAATTTTTTTTCTTATGTTTATATGTATTAGGGCAGTGGTCATCAAATTGTTGCTCTCAAGCCACATGCAGCTCTTTGGCCTCTTGAGTGTGGTTCTTCCAGAAAATACCTCGTGCTGGCGGACAGAAACAGTGCCATTGAAGGAGTACCCTAATTAAGTGAATAACAATGTATCTACCTATATACTTTAAGTTTAAAATTTAGCTCTCAAAAGAAATTTCAATCGTTGTACCGTTGATGTTTGGCTCTGTTGACTAATGAGTTTGCTGACCACTGTTATAGCCAAAAGAAAAGAAAAAAAAAAAAAAAGATGTAGTCTTAGTTACATTGAGCAGGCTTATATTGAGTGACATTGATTCCATTTGCAATTGCTGTTCCAATCTGAAAGCAGAAGTTTCTTTCCAAAGGTGTATGTGTAGGAATAGAGAATCTAGTCCTGACCTATGTCAATGCCATCAGCAGTGGGGCCCTGCCCTGCATGAAGAATGCAGTCCTGGCCTCGGCCCAGATAGAGAACTCGGCTGCAGTGCAAAAGGCCGTGGCCCCCTATGACCCACAGATCAGTAGCATAAATGCTAACATAAAGCTAGCAATCTCTGCCATGAACTTCACCTCCAAGGAGAAAGGGACTTCAGTAGAAAGACAGGATCAGGAGAAAGGATGTGGTCCTGCAAAAGTGCCTGTAAGTTTTCGCAGGATCACAGACTGATTTTGGAGAAGCCTTTCCAAAAATCCTGAGGTTGAGCTAACATTTCCTCTGTATTCTTTCTACTTCCTATTTTCACATTAAAGGCCCAGCTAGAAAAAAGGCGGGATGACTTTTATAAAGAGAATATAAAAGCATCATCGGATCGCTGCTCAGCTTTACTTAAGGATATCTTCCATTCTTTAGAAGAAGATATAAAGCAGGGGGTTTATTCTAAACCAGGAGGATATCATCTCTTAATGCAGACTGTGAATGAGCTCAAGAAAAAGTATCTTCAGGAACCCAGGAAGGGAATACAGGTAACCAACATTTATCTGTCTCTCTGTTCCTTCCTTCAACTCCACACTTCCCTCGACCCAGTCTCCCTCAACCTCCTTACCTTGGATCTGCTCTCTCCATGATGGCTTCATCCTCACTCCATATGAAATCACAGCACCAACAGCTCAAAAAATAGAGCCTTCACATGAGAAGAGACACTCTGAATCTATATTTATACCAATTTCTTACAAAGAATTCTGCCTCGTTGGGTGCCAGGCCTGCCCAACCTGGAGCTTGTGCCAACCCAGTGAAAGGAGAACCTTGACCAGGACAAGGAACAGGGCCAAGTGAAGTGATTCCTACAAGAAAAGATGGTGGGCAAATAGGAATGAGCGCTTCCAGCGATTTCCTATCATTAATGCCTTTTTATCGATGTCTTAGAGTGAAGAAGTTCTTCAGACATACCTCATGTCCAAGGAATCTGTAATTGACGCAATTCTACAGACAGACCAGACTCTCACAGTAAAGGAAAAGGAGATTGAAGGTGAGGAGCAAGTCAAGAGACTAGATAGCCTCAACAGCTTTTAAAAGTTTAAATAATTTGGCTTGGAGAACCTGGGGTCCTTAAACTAAAGCCAGATGAACAAAGATGCCTACTACTAGCCTAAGTCAGGCTCAGGGGGCAAATGCAGTCAGCAGCAACAATGTCAGGTGAGTTCACAAAGAAGAAATAGCGAGGGGGTCACCCACATGAATTTGTCTTCTTCCTTTCCTCCTGGCAGTGCAACGTGTGAAAGCTGAATCTGCAGAGGCTGCAGCAAAAATGCTGGAAGAAATGCAACAGAAGAATCAGCAGATGATGGAGGAGAAAGAAAAGAGTTATCAGGAACATGTGAAACAACTGACTGAGAAGATGGAGCAGGAGAGGGCCCAATTAATGGCAGAGCAAGAGAGGACTATGGCTCTTAAACTTAAGGTATATAATGGTGTCACCTTGAGGTTTCTCTTTTTCTGTTTTCTGTCCACTCTCCCAGACTTGTTTGTGTGTCTATTAGAATAGGAAAACCCTAAGGATCTTGCTTGCCCACTCGTATCTTTCAAATTCTTTTTGTCTCCTTGATTTGAAGCCTGCGTACACCTGCTTATTAAAAATTTTTTATTATCCTTTATCTCAAATCCAGTCCTTTATCAGTAAACTACAGGACCAGTGCATGGATTCATGCAATGTTTTGGTCCCTTGGCCTGACCTGTGTTATCTCATAATTTAGGACCTGTCCGGGAATGTCAGAACAATGATTTTGGCCAAATCTAAACAGGCTAGACCAAGGCACCCCACCAGTGCACAAATCCATGCACCAGGCCTCTAGTATGTATATAAGATCTTTGCATAATCTCTTCTCAATCTCCCCTGTCCCCTCCTTCTTCTGAGATTCATCAGTCTGCTCCATGTTTCCATGCCTGTGCATTGAGCAGCTGCCCTATGATGGTCAGTGCATGTCATAGCTACCAGTCGAACAGTCAAATTGTTCAATGGTCATTTAGGCTTTTACATATATAGACAGGAAGCCCGGTGCACAAAATTTTGTGCATGGCTAGGGTCCCTCGGCTTAGCTGGCAATCAGGGCCAATCAGGGCCTCCCTCTGGCTGCCCCAGCAACAAACTTTCCCCAGTTTCCAGCTGCTGGATGGAGCTTTCCTTCCTCTGGCTCCCAACTTACAGCTGGGCTTCCACTGATGGTCAGCGCACATCATGATGAGTGTCTGAACTTCCAAGGGGACAATATGCATATTACCCTTTTATTATATGAGATTATTCAATCAATGATAGCTATTATATTTCAGGCATTGTAAATATATCTTATCTGTATCTCTTGCTGAATATTATTTGAAGCAAGAATTGCTGTTTCTTAGAAGAAACAGAGATTCAGAAAAGATGAGCTTTTACAGGGTCACACAGATCGGTAAGATATTGAACCACTTTCAGACTTAGAGGAATCTACAATCACTGTTTTTCTGTCACACCTGGTGTGACTTTGGTTCTCAAAGAACCTTTATGAGCAGAAAGACTCTTTGCCTCTCTCTCCTGTTTCTGCCACTCTTGCCTGTTTGTTATGCCCTACTCCTAGTTTGTGTAGTGAGTTTTATGCAGAAATTCAATGTGGACAGTTAGGGGCCTTGATGTCTTTATTTATATCCTGCTACTCTTGCCACCAAACTGTGGAGGCTTAAGTCAAATTCCCTGATCTAAGTTTATGGCACTTCCTTTGATTTTAAGAAATTTTATTTCTGTCATATGTATGTATATGAAAGTATGATTTTATATATATATATATATATATATATATATATATATATATGTGTGTGTGTGTGTGTGTGTGTGTGTGTACACACATATATATATGTATATGGGTCAATAAGATTTGAAAAGAACATAATTAAGATAAACATAGGTTGTAATAGAATTAAACTTATAACTTAAGTTTATCAAAATATTAAAAGGTATAAGCCAAAATATCTCTTATCTAAAGGAAGCTCAAGATAAGCAATTATGGAGCTAGGATGTCCAAGTGAAAGTATACTATACAATAAAAGCCTGATATGCAAATTTCCCCTCTATTGGGAGTTTGACCAGGAGTTCGACTGCTCACTGTGATGTGCACTGACCACCTTGGGGCAGTGAGGAACATGATGAGAGTCTGTGACTCAGAGCTGGCAGAGGGTGGCAGCGGAGATGCTGCTGGCCCTGATTGGCCCCAATGAGATTGGGACTGTGGCAGGATGGTGGACCAGGTAAATGGGCAGCGCCAGGCCAAGTTGAGTGTGAGCGGGGCCCCATAGCCCCACCAGTCCAGGTAGCGACCAATGCCACTGAGGTAGCCTGGTGGGGCCCGATGACTCAGAAGGAGGGGTTATGCAGAGGCCCAGGTGCTGCCCAGGACCCAGAGGTCAGCTGGGACCTGCCCTTCCACACCAGATCCTTTGCTTCAATTGCTGGCCAAGCCTTCACACCTGTGTTTGGATTCAATGCAGCACACCTCTTTTAATGAATATTTACGGTAGAGAAATTTTCAAGAAGAAATTAAATACTCAAAAAAAAAAACACCTATAAATGTGAAAACTAGCTAGAAGTTGAGATTTGCTTACTGCTGTGCTTTATTTACTCTTTATTTGTCCCTTTTTAGGAACAGGCCTTATTACTAAAGGAAGGATTCCAAAATGAGAGCAGACAACTTCAGAGAGAAATAGAGACGCTCAAGAATAACATGGCAAGAAGAAATAGGAATAAATGTACCATAAGCTAATGACCTAGGGAAAAGAGATTCCCTGGTCAACTCTACCCAAGGCAAAACTCAAGCAGTTGAAGAAACTTGAAAAATGTTACAACTTGAGAAAATGACCCTCTTTAAGTTGATAAAAGAAATCTAAAAAAAAATCCTTCAGTTAACATACATACTTAATGATAATAATTGGAATGCTTTGCCCTTAACTCAGGAATAAAGCAGGAATATGCAATCTCTCCTCTCCAGAAAACAGAATGATGAAGGCTTCCTACAATATGGCAAAAGAAAGAAAGAAAGAAGGGAAGGGAGGGATAGAGGGAGGGGGGGATAGAGGGAGGGAGGGAGGGAGGAAAGAAGCGGGGAAAAAAGGAAAGGAAAAAATAAAACTGCCTTTATTCTCACATGCAATGACTATGCACATAGATAAATCCCAGGGAATCTACAACAAAAAAGCCAAAAACAGCAACATAAACTCTTTAACAAAGTTGAAGATTTAAGGTCAATTCACAAAAATCCACTTTTAACTGTATTTTTATATAAAAGCAATAAAGTATTGGACAACAAATATTAAAAAAACAATATCATTTATAATAGTTGTTTTTAAAAAATGTAATAGTTAGGTCAAAATATAACTAAACAGAACCACAATCTTCTATTTCATTCTAAGACCATGATGTATGAATTCCCTTAGATTCAAACTCCCTTGTAGTTTTTATGATGTTACTTTTACTCATTGTAGAGAATAAGGTTCAAGAGCCTTATTTTTAGAGTTATCTTTGACCAAAGCATGTACCTATTATTTGTTAAGATTTGTTTAGCAATGAAAATATGTCAACTGGGTGGGTGGAGACAGGAAGGTATGGAGGGGGTCAATGGGAAAAAAGAAAGATAGCTGTAATATTAACAATAAAGATAAATATATACATCAACAGGAAGCTGGTGAATATTCTAATGAGATCCTCCCTATCACCTCCCCTAAATGCCCAGACTTTAAAACCCCTCAAAACAAAGGTCAAGCTTCCCTCCCAGGAGCATGCCCGCACCTGCCCTTCACCATCTTTCCCCACAGGCAGGCATCTCCTCATCTCTAAGGGAACCCACAAGGCTTGCAACTAAAGCAGCAACTGGGAGTAGCAGTTCATCCAGGGAAATTCCCTGAACCTGTTCCCTAGGCCCCCATTTCTCTGACTTCTTAGGGAACCAAATCAGCCCAGCCTGTGCTCATTTCCCCAGCCCTTTCTTATTCACTTCCCAGCTCTAATAAACATTCTCTAAAATTCACTTGCACTCATGTTGTGAAACTTTTCCTGCATGAAGTCAAGAACCCACACACTACCCACTACCGCCAGGCACTAGGCAGACGCACTCAGGGCCAGGTCTCCTTTCTGGTCACAATGTGACTTACATTCTGCCAAGCAGACTCACCACAGTGAGACTCAGATGCAGATGTGAGCCCCACAGAGATGCTCTTTTTCATGGGGCAGTTGATTTCTTAAAAACATGAAGGTGGGTGTTAATGTAAAAAAAACATTCAAGCCTGTAAAGAATTTTTATGAGTTTATTTGAGCCAAACTGTCAACAACTGCCAGGAAGCAATATCTCAATGGATTGGGATAGTGCTTTGGAGAATGGCAGTCTTACATCTATTTTTATACATTAAAATCAAAGGAGGGACATAGGTGAGTCACATGAAATCCACTGGTGATAGATTAGAGATGGGGAGAAAGCAAAGCCGGTGGGATGGGGGAGGGGGGTACGTGGGAGGTGGAAACGTCTGGGATTGGATAAGAAGTAAAATGATAAGACACATACTTAGGTGGTTACAGGAACAATTAACATTATAACAATGAAGGAATTGGGGGTATCTGTCCTGGTGACCAGACACATTAGGTTATGCCCCAAGGGATCTGGAAAAAGGGAATTATAAGTTATGCAGACATTTCAAGATATATTATTATAGATTCTAAAAGACAGATTCACTTAAGGTAAAGGTTGACCTTGTCAGTGAAGATACCGGCCTAGGTCATAACTACCCACTATAACCGATTTTAGTTAAACTTTAATTTCAGACCATCCTCTGTGGTTACTGGAGGTTCCTGAGTTTGCAAGACTGCCATGCAGGCCTTCCCTGAACTTGCCAGGTTAGCATGTAGCCCCTTATATCCACACAGGAGAGTCAGTCTCTCAGAGCTGACATTTATGGCATTTATGGAGTCCACATGGAAGGGCCTGTGGTATTTTCTCTGAAGAAGCCTTTATTGAATGTGTTGCATTGTTTCTTACTGAATAGCTATATAAGCAGGCTCCATCCCCATCTTCAGAATTAACTTTCACCTATAAGATCAAATAATCTCATCAAGTCCCCGAAAATGGTGAAAGAACAACAAATCATATTGGGAAAATAGATTATCCATACACAAAAGCATTAAGTTGGAACCTTAAGCCATATATAAAAATTAACTCAAAATATATTAAAGATATAAATTTAAAACTGAAAACTATAAAACTCCTAGAAGAAAACATAGGGAAAAGCTTCATGACATTGGATTTGGCAATTGCATTAGATACGACACCAAAAGTACAGGAAACCAAAGCAAAAATCCTACCTAATAAAAGAGCAATATGCAAACCATCACTCTGCCACACCAACAAGCCATGCCCACCAGCCAATCAGAACAAGTATGCAAATTTACCCAAACAAGATGGCTACGGCCGCAGAGAGCAGGAGGGAGGGTTGGGTTTCTTGGGCAACAGAGGAAGTCAAGTTTTCCACCTGTCAAGGCTACAAAGTTTCAATTATAGAAAGTAAACAAATCCAAACAGAAATGGCAGCAGCGGTGCGGCAGGCAGGAGGCTTGGCTCCACTCCAGGCTACAAAGTTTCAATTGTAGAAGGTAAATAAATTCTAGATACCAGAGCTTCCACTTAGGTCTCCAGGGGCATGTCTGGCCTGCAAACCACCACAGGCCCCTCAATCAGGCCGCCCCATGCCTCAAGACACATTAGGTTGTGCCCTAAGGAGTGTGGAAAAAGGTTATATTCCACCCTGATCCAGGACACCCTTCAGGGCAAATCAGCTAGCCCCCACCCCTGCACCAGGCCTCTATCCTATCTAAAAAAAAAAAAAAAATGTGATATGCAGATTGACCATCACTCCAACACACAAATGGCTGCCCCCATGTGGTCAAAGATCTTGCCCCCATGTGCACACAATTGGCCACCACAAGGTGGCTAGTGGGGGAGGGCAGTTGGGAGGCACCAGACCTGCAAGGAAAGGCAGTTGGGGGCAATCAACCCTGCAGGGGAGGGCAGTTAGGGGTGACCAGGCTGGCAGAGGAGGAAGTTTGGGGGAAATAGGCTGGCAGGGGAGCAGTTAGACATCAATCAGGATGACATGGGAGTGATTAGGGGTTGATCAGGCAGGCAGGCAGAAATGGTTAGGGACAATCAGGAAGGCGGGCAGGTGAGCAGTTGGGAGCCAGCATCTAGGGATTGTGAGAGAGATCCCAGATTGAACAGGGTGCAGGCTGGGCTGAGGAACCTCCCTTACCCCGCCCCCATGCACGAATTTTGTGCACCAGGCCTCTAGTAGACAAATAAGACCAGATCAGTGGAAACTGATTTGGCTCAGTGGATAGAGCATCTGCCTGTGGACTGAAAGGTCCCAGGTTTGATTCCGGTCAAGGGCACATACCTTGGTTGCGGGCACATCCACCATAGGAGGTGTGCAGGAAGCAGCTGGTCAATGATTCTCTCTCATCATCGATGTTTCTAACTCTATCCCTCTCTCTTCCTCTCTGTAAAAAATCAATAAAAAAAAAAAAGACCAGATCAAATTTTAAACCTTCTGTGCATCAAACGAAACTATTAACATAGTCAAAAAGCAACTCACAGAATGAGAGAAAATATTTAAAAATTACACATCTGATACCCAGAATATATAAAGAATTCGTAAAATTCAAAACAACTCAGTTTAAAAATAGTCAAAGGAGTTGAAGAGATATTTCTCCAAAGAAAATATACATATGAAAAAGTGCTCAATATTATTAATTAATACAGAAATAAAAATCAAATATCACCTCACACCTATTAGGATGGCCACTGTCCTTAAAGGAAAAAATAACAAATATTGGTAAGGATATGGAGTAATTAGTACTGTAAGTATGAAAAATAGTATAGCTGCTATGGAAAACTGCATGATAGCCGAAACCGGTTTGGCTCAATGGATAGAACGTGGGCCTGTGGACTGAAAGGTCCCAGGTTCGATTCCGGTCAAGGGCATGTACCTTGGTTGCGGGCATATCCCTGGTACAGGGTGTGCAACAGGCAGCTGATCAATGACTCTCTCTCATTGATGTTTCTAACTCTCTATCTCTCTCCTTTCCTCTCTGTACAAAATCAATAAAATATATATATTTTTTAAAGTCTTTAAAAAAAATTTTTTTAAAGATTCATGACAGATACCTTCACAGACACCAAAGAGCCCTGAGTCAGAGGGAGAGAGCTCTCCCCAACATCCATGCTTGTCATCTCTTAAAAGTGAATTTATATGAGAAAACTCCAGGTTGTTGCATTGTGATAAAGTAAATTTATTTATTTTTCTATGTATTTTTATTGATTTCAGAGAGAAAGGAAGAGATAGAGATATCAATGGTGAGAGAGAATCCTTGATTGGCTGTTTCCTGCATGTCCCCTACTGGGGATTGAGACCACAACCTGTGCATGTGCCCTTGACCAGAATTGAACCTGGGACCCTTCACTCTGCGGGCAGAAGCTCTATACACTGAGCCAACCAGCTAGGGCAAGACAATTTATTGAAGCATGCATATTTATTAAAGAAGTAAGGCAGGAAAATCATGTGACATTTATCTTTCTCCGACTGGCTTATTTCACTTAGCATAAAGCTCTCCAGTTCCATCCATGCTGTTACAAATGATAAGAGTTCCTTCTTTTTTATAGCAGTGTAGTATTCCATTGTGAAGATGTACCACCGTTTTTTTAATCCACTCATCTGCTGATGG